TTTTTTTTTTTTGGGTCAAAAAATTAATTAACAATCTTAAGTTTAGGATTATTGTAATAAATTGCTTCTTTTGCTCACGTCCTTTGCTTTCCTACATTTTAATCCTTTCGCTCACGTCCTTTGCTAAGATATTTTAAGATAATAATACTGTACATTTTAAGATATACAGTATTATTATTCAAACTAACCAATCTTCCATATAAAAAAATAGTCAAATACATTGAGAGTAGTATCAGACAGAAATACCCAATATGTTAGTTAATCTCAAAATATAAGAAACTTGTTCATCACGTTTTCTTTCTTCATCTGTACGACTTGGCGGCATAATTTATTTTATGACTTTTAAGTAAAGACATGAAAGACATGGCACAAACTATATATACCGTACAGTGCAATAACGTTGCTTTGAATGGTTACATATTTTTAGAGTAATACAGTTTGTACTATCTCTTGTGTAACCAATCAGTAAATCAACATTACAAAAAATAATATCATTGTCTTTCACTGTACTATCATCTCTAATCACTATTTGTACTGCTTATATTTGTACTATCATCTTTATACTGCTCTTTGTACCATCAAAATTTTTGTACGGTCTCGTGTTACTAATCAGATATCTATTACTCGTGTCTGATTCAGTTTTTTTTAATCCCCTTAGAGTTTTGTAACATAATTACATAAATCAACCGAATCTATTACTCATGTCCAATTTTTTTTGTTTCTTTCGGAATACTAAAAGATTCTAGATCTAGGTTCTTACGTTCTTTTTTGAAAAATTTTAAATGGTCTCTTCTCAAATACCACTTGAATCAATGATTTTTAGATTTTGTCTAAAAAACTTTACCAACTGAGCAATATCGTTGTGCACTAAATATTTCTGTAGAAAAAAACATCACACATACAAAATTTTGACGGTTCTTGTTTTCTGTGGATAGAAATTCTAGTTTTGGTGTATAATAATAATTTACTCATGTATCAGGAGAGTCTCGACTCTTGTTAGACCGTCACTTATACCTATTCTAAACTCAAAACTCAAACATTTTAATTTTGGTAGAAAATATTAATTAATGTGTTTGTCTTAAAAAAAAAAACTTTTTAATATTGATGTAAAATAATAATCTACTTATCAAATCGACTGTATATGAATAGATTAATGATTTTTTTTTTAATATATGCTTACTTT